TAATATGTAATGTATGTTGGTCTAAATGTGATTTACAGGGGTTTTATCTTTATGGACTTTCTAATGGAGCATTTAAAAGACATTTTGATTTTCTTTTACAAAATCACAGGCTTCTCTAACTGTCCTGCCTTTTCCTGAGAGATCTATTGAAAGCTTTCCGCATACATAAGAACAAGGTGAATAATACGCTAAATGCTTTGAAACATGCCTGACAATATGGAAAACCCACAGGCGTCAGCGGTTTGGCATTGCAATCTTTTAGACATTGAGGCGCAGACTTTTGGTGGTATTTTCATCGCTGTAGTTTAACAGCATAGTCTACAATGATTGATGCTGTCACTCCATAGTGATGGATGAAAAAAAAATTGATTCCAATACATTTTGCGATTTGATGATTGACACCTTTTTGACCAATGGATTCTCCAAGGATATGGGCCTTGTCATTTCAGAATAGGAAGCCATATAAGTAATTGCTGCCAGTCTTTATCATTTAAGAGATCTTAGAGGAAAACATGAGCATTTTGGTTTGGCAAAACTTCATGTTGTCATATTGCTTTGTAGTGCCCTTATTTATTTTATTTTGTTTTGTTTTATTTTTTATATAGGGTGACTGAATTAAGCATAGTGATACACAGTATTCAAATTAAATAAATATGTTAATAGTGATATATATTAGGGGTGCTCCGATTGATCAGCTACCGATCACTATTGGCCGATAATTGCTTTGGGTTGATTGATCGGCGGTCTCTAAAAAGACCAATCTCAAAAAACCGATCTCAAGCTGATGACTCTGCCGTGAGAGGTTTGGAACGACATGCAGTGGCACCGTCTCAGTCTCTGTCCGGCGGCGTGAAATAATTATAATGCTGTACCTCACCTTCATATTTCTTCATTAAATAACTTATAAAGTAATTTGAAAACCTTGTGTGAGACGTAATTTCACAAAAAGCATGAGTGACTCACCGCGCGCGCTCTCTCTCAAAATACGCAAATGACTTCAAATCACCACATCGCGTCTGCACTATAAGCGAGCTGCACACTGCACAGTTGACACAGGAAATGTCACTTGCACAATCGAGGCAGTGTCACATCGTCACTAAAGTTTATAAATTGCATTCGGTGCGTATTTTTTCCGCGCTCATGTTAACAGATTAATAAAGCGTGCACACTGCACACGGTGCAGTGCTCTCCAGGAGCGGTGCATCTGCAGTAGTGCAGAGATCATTTCGAGTCTATTGCTGCGCTACAAGCGCTGAATTAAAGTAACAGCGCATTTTTTGCAGTAAATATGAACATGAATTGACACGAAAATGTAGTAATTACACCATAAATGCATATTATTAAAGTCTACTGTGTTTCACAGTCAACACATATGGCTTTTTGGCTAGGTTTAAAGGGAAAGAGCACTTTTAGATAAACAAGGCAATAATAGATGGCACTCGTGGAGGTAGGAAAACAAAGTTTATTTTATGAACCGCAGGATTGCTTGTAATAAAGATTTAAATGCAAAAGAAAAGGCAGTAGAGCTGACTATTTCTGTCAATGGTAAGTTTGTGATAACGTAAGAAAAGTAGTTTAAATGTTTTGCCACTTGCTTGAGCAA